CATATGCTATCAAAGTTGATATGACTAAAATATCCAAGACTTATTTATTTATCTTAGTTTTACCTTTGTATTTTTAATAGTTATACCATTTTTACGGACTTCAAGATGGCGACTCATGGGTAATTTCTACACATGATCTCTTGCGGAATGTTTGGCATAGGCACAGGCGGCCGTGGCTATTACTGCAGAACCTTGGATTTAAAGAAATTCACAGTAATCATAAAGCATACGTAACTGTTCGTGATGACAGCTTCAAGCTTTTAAACAACGTCAGGACAACATTAGAAGTATTATGGATTTTATTTCTCGAAAGAGAATAGTTTTGTTCTTTTAAACTTGACTGAAAGACTACCGGTACTGTGTGAAATATATATAAGAAATGCTGAGACAGTTTAAATTCAACCGAATTAGCTCAACATCAGATACATTTTTGACCAAATGGATAAGCACGCAGTCTGAAAAAAAACCACACTAGCCTCCGAAAATGCATTGCATTGCACCGACAATATTGCATGTAGGCTACTCCATCACCTCAAAATAAGTGTGAAGAATGAGCTACGGATTTGAATTCCAAGGAAGCCTCAACGTAGATGTGTATAAGAGACAGGCTTAGAACTATACCGAATGCTCTGGAGGACGACGATACGCACATGTTACTCATGTTTTCTCGACGACGAACGACGGATATCCACGACTCGCACTGCACGCCGCCATTCCCACAGACGACGTTGCGCGGTCTCAACAGAATATCGGAAGGTAATTATCCAACACATTTGTTTTGTTGTATTCTATCCATCATACATAGTATATCTTAAGTTTTTAGTAATAAATACATTAAGATAGTATAATACATACTCCAAGTATCGAAATGCAAGCCATCGTGTCGGGATTCAATATTTCGAAATTAATTATGTCATCATCAGGAATTCCTGATGAAATATTGAATCCCGACACGATGGCGTGCATTTCGATACTTGGAGTATGTATTATACTATCTTATCTGAGATAGTGGACCTTTCTATTAATCTCTTGTTTGTTTATCTAATGAGAGGCTATTTTGTTGGTACAGCGTATAATTTTACATTCATTTTATATTCACATACATTTCTTACATTCTGTGGTTTACCAAATCAAAATCAAAATCATAATCCCACCTGGAGTTTGTTGAACTGGACTATCTGTAAATACTGTATATTCATAGTTTTATTATAACATGTTATTATCTGTCTATATATGTATATATATGTGTGTGTGTGTTTTTGTACGAATAAATGCACTTTACGCATTATTGTGGTTCGTGCAGTCGTAGTTATGTGTATATTGTACTTTAGTAATCTCTCGTAGAGGCAAATGAACAGACTATTCTGTCGTCTATTTTTAGTTCAGTTTCTTTTACACAAGCTCAGCGTATTTCTAATGTTCAGAATAAGTTTATTATGTTTCTTAGTCATACTTGTCCCAATTATAATGTCTCTCTTATGTCTCTTGAAAATCGTAGAATTATTTTTGACATGGTATTTTTATATAAGTCTTTAAATTCCATTTATGATTGTCCTCTTGTTTCTGTGTTCAGTTTAAACATCCCGACTCGTACCCGCAGTAAGTGTTTACTTCATGTTCCTTACGGTCGTGTTGATTGCACAAAACGGGGTATTTTTCAACGTTTACCGAACGAATTTAATAGACTACTTGATACTTGTTTTAATATTGATATTTTTTATGATAGTCTTAATATTTTTAAAAGCAAAATAATTAAATTTGTGTAAGTGTATTTTAGTTTATTTCAGTTTTGAAGTTTATAATATATATTTATATATGTTTTAGTTGAACCTGTTAGTGGCGGTTTTCATCGCTGTTGGTTTTATACTGAATAAAATAAAATAAAATAAAAATAAATGCTATGAGGCCTACATAGCAGTTGTTTATAGTTACGGTGAGGTACAATAAGCCGGTATAGGCCTGTGCCAAATGCTGCAACCAAAATTGTTAATAAATAAAGTAATGGTATACGAAATGCACAATAGGTACGCAGCTAGATCATTTGTGCATTCACGCCTCTCCGAAATCATCAATTGAGCTAAGATACTTCATTGGGTTTCCGTTTTCTCACTTGAACCATGGAACATAGTGACTAGCTTGAATAAGGTTGATAGTAGATTGATTCACTTGGGAGACCGGAGCGCATTGAAACAAATTTTGTTTTTTTGGTCATAGGACAGTCAATAAAGGTCATGAAACTTCAAAAATGGTGTCAAAAGCAAATAATGGGTGACATTCAATATTACAAAAAACAAAATTAACATAGGTAGCTTTACTAATTGCCCTTCAGGAGGCTAGTTAACTTAACGTATGTGTTTCAATGTACCCACGGGGCACATTGAAACAGCAATAATTACAAGCTTAAACAAACATGAAAACAATTATAATATGTTAAAAAGTCATTAGTTTGATTGAAACAATGAATTTAGTCATATACTATGACATACTATATTAATATTTTTAGAAAAACAGACTTATGAATATGAATAATAATTGGTTAGATAGGCCTATACGCTAATGTAGTGTTTCCACTCTAATGAATGGAATAGTATCAGTTTTATACTTTATTCACATCTGTTCACCAAGGGACTCTATTACATGAGTAACACCATCAAGATCAGCTGCTACAAACAGAACACACTTCTTCTCTAAATAAAAGTACTATACTGGGGCTGCCCGCTTCAATAACTGGGGGTCCTTCAACCTCTCATTTTTCTGTGGTTTCGCATGGTAATGAATATATATTTAAAAAAAACACAATGTCAAGGCTTATAAATTATAATATACACTTGAAATATAATATATATTAAATCATTTTGGCAAAATAGTGACTATAGGTAAACACTAACTTAGTGACTATATTTTTGAGGCCTTGAACTTCAGCAGTGGTATTTATTTATATTTTTTATCTGATTTATTACCATATTTAAATTAACATACAGAAAGAACAATGATAATATTTAATTATATTCTGAATATTATGTGTGTATAATATGATTATCGTATTACCACTTAATTCTATAGGGCAACAATTTATTAAACATTTGAATTAAATTACATTACACCATGATATGGGGTGCATTGAAACACGGTGTTTCAACGTGCCCCGAAGGCACTATCGGTCTCACAAAATGCATAAACCAGCAATATAACACGCCTCAATCATATAAGTCTGCGAAGACGGCAAAGTGGGCTGGGACAGGAACGGCCACGTACTACTCAGAGGTGGGTCATAAAGAGCGGAACACCATGGAAACTCCCACAATTAGGGATTTGAAAGGCTTATTTATTCAATTTTAGAGATTGTTTTGTCCCCGACAAATTGTATTTCCAGACATGGGAGACAGAACCCTTGACACCACCACCACTATTGACGCGAAAATCCGCCTTTCCATCGGGGACATCGCCCCTTCTCCCGTCAGGGACATCGCCACCCAGTCGGGGACATCGGCCAAACGTCGGTGGCATCGCACCCACCCCCTTCTTCCTCTATTTTGGAAAACCAAACTCCTGTCGAGCAAATACCAGCACCCTGACTGTGGATCCGATGTCCCCGAAAGGTGCCGATGTCCCTTACTGGGGGAAGGAGCTATCTCCGATGGAAAGGCCGATTTTTCCGACGGCAAAGTGGATGGGGACAGGAAAGGCCAAGCACCACTCAGAGGGGGTCTAAAGAGCGAATCACCTGGAAACTCCAACGATTAGGGATTTGAAAGGCTTATTAATCAATTATAGAGGTTTTTCTTCCCAGACAAATTGTGCTCCCAGACATGGGAGGAGAACCCTTGGCACCCCACCATTGACGCAAATCCCCTTTAAACCTTTAAAGTAAATTATGTGATTAACCAAACTAGCTTGCAATAAATGCTATTAAAATTATAAACTTTGCCCTTTACATGTAATGCTATAATTCTTCAACTACTGAGAGCTTTCCTCCTCCCCTCTCACACAGGGACGTAGCCAGGATTTTGAAAGGGGGGAGCCGTTATGCGTATTACGTAGGACCCCGGCGGGGTCAAGGGGCGAATCCCCCTGTGAAGTAGCGCACTCTGAACGTTCTTAGGACTGTTTGAGAGGATAAAGTGAAAATTGCAATAGACGCAATATAAATAAGCGCAAAAATAATTATATAATAAATCGACAGTGGCAGATCCAGGAATTCGAAAGAGAGGTGAACCAGGGAGGGACATTCAGAGACCGAGGAACCTCCAACCTCAGCCCCACCATGGTTGGGGCTGAGGTAAGAAAATTTATGATTAGGGCATCTCTAGACGGCCGGAAATTACACTCTCGCACTTCAATTTGAATATATTTTTCTTTTTTTTCCCTTAAAAAATGAAAGGGGGTGGGGCCTTGAATCCACCTCTGCTCAAAACATTCTTTATCCAGAACAGTCATAATCACGAAAATGGACATGAAAAACCAGATCACATCCTAAAAACAAACAGCAGTCACTAAAACAAACATCAGGAGCCGACTCGATGGCGTTTAATGTCATACCCAGGGAAGGGCACAGATCTGTTTTGAAAGGTGGAGGGGAAGAGCATTTTGTGAGTCGACACACCTCAGCCCCACCATGGTTGGAGCTGAGGTTGAGGAAATAGTACCTCTAGATGGCCAGAAATGACACTTTCAGTAAAATTAATCATCGTCGATCACATCACCATTAGTCAAAATGAAGCGCCAAAAAAATTCTCATGATCTTTTATCGGGGATTTTTGACAACCATAGAGATCTTATTAATGTGTGTGTGATATGCCACAAAAAAACAAAAAACATTGTCTTTGAGTATGTACTTTACATAGGCCTACTTCAAAAACGTTATTTCACAACCACCTCAGCCCCACCATGGCTGAGACTGAGGTGAGAAAATTTGAGGAAATAGTACCTCTCGAGATGGCCGGAAATGACACTTTTATATAGTAAAATTCATCATCATCACATCACCATTATTTATAGTCAAAATTAAACGCCAACAAATTTCTCATAATCTTTTATCAGGGATCTACTTAATATCCAGGACAACTTAGGCCTAACTATAGCTTACTAAGCTTTAACTATACTATATTATGATCAACAAATCACAGATTTTTTCACATTTAGTAGGATTTTCTTCACTTTTTATTGCTATTAATATTATTATCAATTATTACTATCGTCATCATCATCATTGTTATTATTATTATTATTATTATTATTATTATTATTATTATTATTATTATTATTATTATTATGTCTCTTATACACATCTTCATTGTTATTATTATTATTACTATTAGTAGTAGTATTATTAAACAAAAATTTAAAGAAACTTGGAAAAGGATAAAAACGAATTTGAACCACAGTATCGCATTTCTATCTTGAAAGACCTGGCCTGAGAATTATGGATTTAAGATTTTTTTAATCACGCTTAGGCCTCTGTGTTCTATTAAACCTATGTATAACGTGTACTGATGCATATTTATATGTTTTGGAAGTATACATTTTGAGTGATCACAGGAAAGAATATGTATTGGCTCAAGAATAAGCTTTAAAATTTTAA